GATTCAGTTCTTTTCATATTGTGAATAATTACTTATGCCTAAAATAGGGAATTTCCTCGAAGTCACAAGTTAACATGCTCAAGGAATCTTCAAATACTTTAGGTAATACTTGCATGGAAACAATTAAGACCATCATTTCTTGTATAAATTTATAATAAACTAACTCTGCACTATAAAAGTAATATAGCTAATTAACCCTAATTATTAATTTCTGTACCTTATTGTTATTTTTTAAGAAAAACCCTTCTTGTATCAAAATAAAAACCTTGCAAATTCCAATTCATTTGAACAGGTAAAACGTACAAAAGGCCACATGAATACTGTCCAACAGGAAACAAATTAGATGCTTGTATATCATACTTATTTATCAATTATATGCCATTGAGCAACAATCTGGAATTATCTTACTAGTTACTATAACCATTATCCATGTACTTCAGTATTGGTCAAATCAAGAAAACTAATTTACTCCCATCTGAAACTAATTCTAAATTTACTAGGCTACACGAGATTAGTATACATACAGTGCCTATTCACTCGAATCATAAATGCACATGCTATGTAAATTTAAAGGAATTGATGAAGCTATTCACGTTCTTGAATATGTTTTTAATTTCTCTACAAATATCTTGTTTTTGGCCTAATTTCTTGTTGCCTGTTCGCTTTCTTTTTATCTTCTGGTTTCCTCTCACTTTCTCTTGTGTAAACCTAAACAAGTTTATACTTGCAAGAGTGATTTGATCAAAGTCAAACAGGTTTGAACAAGAAGAGGTGGACTAAAAATAACTTGGTTTGTTGTGGTTATAAATGACATGATTACACTCGATCTGTCAGTAGATGTAGCAATAGACCAGCCGTAGTGGAAGACTGGCAGGACAGGATTCATTTAATTAATCCTATATTTATTAGGGGTGAAGTTTAGTGTATTGTTGTTCTATGTGGGTGCAATTAGGTTGTCTAGAATGCTAATATAATTGAACTTTCCAGAACGCCACTCCAAATAATCCCTGTATAAATGTTAATTCTCCCTTTTCCACAAGAAGAGAGAAGGTATTCCAGACGCACAAGCCATCAACCGTTTCACTGAATAACCAAATAGACAGATATTCAGAATTTAATAAATCCAAGAAATCATTTAAAAATGGTTTCATAAGCTTGTTAACTTTCATCTTGGGGTTATTGAAGTTGCAATAATAGTAACAATTCATCATTTGACTTAACTAAAATTTCTGTTATGCCTTTGTGGGGTGAATTTCTTTGAAAAGCATCCCATATTCTTTGTTTTGATGCTGTTGATTAATATAGATGTATGCGCAGCAGATAAATAGGATTGTTAAGGAATATTATTGCTTGCTATAAGACTGGGGAGTTGGAGATTTGTGGGCTGTAAGGATCAAAAAGTGTCCTAAAGATTGGGTAAAAGAATCAGATTTGAGTTTAAAGAGTTTTTGATGGGTTTCCTTGCGTAGCAGACGTTCTATTCGCCTTGGCTCAACAGATATAACATCAGAGCTGAAAGTGAAGAATCGATGTCTGATGGCTGTACTAAAAAGGAAGCATTTAAAAAGTATAATAGAAAATTTTCACATATAGGCTTCAAATAGAATGCAGCTTCTAGCACTGAAGATGCTAAGAAGTTCCAACGTAACATATCATATAAAAGGGCGTATTAGATTTGTTTATATAAGTAGCTTTATTTAAAAAAGAAGTAGGAAAAATGAAGTATTATTTAGAAAAACCTTTTGAGGCTTGAGCTCAAGTTTTGCCTCCTATGAGGTTTTAATTAAAGTTTCAAAGATTATGCCTCAAATGCCACTTGTTAGGCTTTCTCCTCGACTTATTGATTATGCGTCAACTCTAACTCTTATGGTGACTAAGGTTTTCTCCTGTTTGTCTTGCCCTTTCTAGACATTTTATTACGACCTTAGCTTTTTGGCTGTTTTTCCATAACCTAGAAGAAGACACCATTGCAAGTGGAGGATGATGTCAAAGAATAAGAAATTGAGTAACGAGGGTGATAGGGAATCAAACATGATGACAATTGACTGAATGATAGTAATAGTGATGATAGAAGAGATTTCTAGGTTATTTTTACTTGTAGTAGTATACTAAAATTTTGTTATGTGATTTTTAGTTTAGGAGATTATTATTTGCTACTTTATGTATAGATTTCATATTGTTTGCAAGTTAGGCTTTTAACTTTGTTAGTTTATTACTGGATGTAATTTATTTTTATATATTTTTTATGTGCTAGCTCGGTTGATCTATAGATATACTCATGGAATGGATCAGGGTTATAATTTTATCATTTTCATCCATTAAATAACAAATACCAACATGTTTTTGTTTGTGCACAAAAAGTTGTGAAAACTAACACAGGCGAAAAACTGAATCCAAACACACCCAAACTCCCTTAACTTTTTATTTTTTTTATTTGCTCTTATAGTTCTTAAATCTATTGAGGATCATGCTTTAAAATCTAAAAATTTCAGATATATGAGAACGGTGACGTTTTAAGCTATTCAATTCAAGTGGAGCTCCAGGTAAATTTCAATTGACATTAACTATTCCAGTTAAAAAATCTAGAACTACAATCCATAGAGCTACATTAATAGTAGCTCTTAGCAAATAGATAACTCAGCTTCCTGTGAAAACATTGGTTACTGTAGAGGATTTACAAGCTTGTTGAAAAAATATACTAAAATATCATCTAGTTAACGCTACGTTCAAATAGAATGCCTGTAAAATAGGAAAGCATATGTTTGAATTATTGCTTTAGTCATAGACTTACACCACATAGCACTAAGGAAATTGTAAAGTTTTCCATTGTTCAGTCCATTGATATTATTCTAATCTTAATATTTTGATCAAACATCCTACAAGATCATGGTACGAGTATTTGACGTGTATGATACTATTTCTCCGTGGTCAATGAATTCATGAAACAGTAAATGCATGACTCGATGTAAAAATATTTATTTATTTTTGGGGATAATTCTAACTAAAGTTAAAGATATTAGGGTTGATATGCCAAATGGTTGTTTTTGTTAGGATTTTGAGTTAGGGCCTGTTTGATTTGCCACATTTTCCATTTTCCACCTTTTTGGCTTGTTTGATTGCAGATTTTTCTTTGCAATTTCCTTTCCCTTCTCCCCAACACGTGAACAATTTCCTTGGTTTTGTGGAAAACCAATTCCCTTCTAGCTTTTTTTTTTCATGAAAATTGGCAATGGAAACTAATTCTATTCACAATTTAACAACTTTTTTCCTTTAATTGACAATTTTCATGAAAAATAAAGCCAAACGAATACAAAAAAAAAATCCAAAATTTCAACATTTTTCAGGTGGAAAATTATGCAAATCAAACACATTTAATTGACAATTCCTAAGAAAAAAAGTTTTAGGCAATTCAATTTCTTGGAATTCATTTTCTTTTCACCCAAATTTCAATCTTGCAATCAAACGGACCCTTAGTTTTGTGTGTCTATCCCAAATGGAATAGGTTTTTTGTTGCTAATCTGTAATGGGACTATTATAAATTCCACATTGAATAGAATTTAAAAGGTTATCCTTTTGTGTCTGTATAAATAGAGTTATTTCAATAGTGATTTATTTATCCCAATTTGTGAGATAGTTATGGCCTATCTTGGGTTAGTTACACTTGGTCCGGTTTCGGGGTGTGCTTGGAGTTTTGGGGTGAGTAGTTCTATATGATTGTACAAATTCTCGCATAGTGAAATCTCTCTCTTTTGACTACCATTCGGGTTTTCTTCGATTTGGGAGTTTTCACATAAATCTTTGTTATTTTCTCCATATATTCTCTATACGAGGATCCTATGAACGAATAAAACAATTGATCTCAATTCCCAACTAGTAGTATCAAAACATCGGGTTGTTCAAAGTGGTGGATCACATAAAGGATTTATGTCAGGTGATATGGATAAGTTTGATGGAAGAATCAATTTTTAACTTGTGGCAAGTTCATGTCAATTATGTTTTGATTCAGTCTGGATTGAACAAGAATTTAGAAATATATATATTAATCCCAATTTTTGGGAGACTCAATAGCCTGGACGCCTCAGGAAAAAATGTCCAAAAGGAAGAGTAGGTTTGGCTATTTCTCAAAGTCAATAGATGGAGATACTAATTTTGTCGCTAACATCGTGTGTCTTTTCTCCAGGAGGAATAATGATATTCTTTGGTAAGAATGTTCATCTTTAAGGCATGATTTTTGCCAATTAGTTTCATGATAGGAGATGTGTTATTGTTAGCAAATTCACAAAATTTGCACATGTGCATTGGTTTGGTATTGATGCTGGAATTTATGGTGATGATTGATGAACTCTCAAGAAAGTCCTACATGAGGTTGTATCATAGTTTTCAGTAAGGTTGTTTGACATTAGCGGATGAAATTCTTAGAATTTATTGATTTTTAAGTGTATACTCCTTATGTTGGGGTATGGTCTGTTATGAGATTTGTAGTTGTGAAAGAAAATGTTCATTGAAATATTCCAAGTGGCATGACCAAGAGGGTAGAAGAGATGGGACTCCGGTGAAGGTCCATTATTTGAATTGGAGGAGACATGGAAGACTTACTATTTGGGGACCTCACACAATTCAAATTCAACGGGGAGATTTTTAGAATTTTGACTTAATATTGTCTAATGGGACTCTGATGAATCCCACGTCAAATAGAACTCAAAAGCTCTCCTTTTGTGTCCCTATAAATACATTCTTTCCCTTATTGTTTTATTTATTCCAATATGTGAGATAGTTAT